TCTTCTGAAAATTGATAGAAGGTGTATTGTATCTGTGGGTCTTTTTTAATTTGTTTTGCCTGACAGGAGTTCTGAAGACTCATGTTCTTCATCTTTGGGGGATTCTCTCATGTCAGTTCTTTGGGAATTTCCTCCACTCTGTTTCTACTCATCTAAATTTCTGGATCTTTTTTCTTTTTTTTAAGATTGTATAGAGAGCACGTGTGCATGCAGGGAGAGGGGCAGAGAGAGAATCTCAAGCAGACTCTGAGCTGAGCGCAGAATAGGACTCAGGGCTCGATATCACAACCCTGAGATCATGACCTGAGCTGAAATCAAGAGTCAGATGCTTAACCAACTGAGCCATCCAGACGCTCCTATTTCTGGATCTTCTGTTAATTGATTGATCTTTTGGATTGGCCCTGAGTGTTTATCTTTTCTATTTCCATCTTGTTTTCATTTTTTTCCCTACATATTGGGAGAGTTCCTTGATTTTGCATTCCATTCCTTCTGTTGAATCTTTTAATTAAAAAAAAAAAGTATTTAAAAAATTTGAGAGCTTTTTCTTGTGCTGTCTTTTTCTTTCTTCCAAGTATCATGGCCTTGTTTTAATGGGTGTATATCACCTTGAATCTCAAGCTCTGTCAGTGAGGCCTTCCTTGAGAACCCTCTGTAAATGAGCCTTCTTCCTCATCAGCCCCCTCCTTGCCAGGGCTCTCTGCACTCCAGGCCTTTTGCACATTCTGTTCACTCTTTCTTAGTCTACCCTTATGCCTTTGATCTAAACTAGAGGTAACTTTTGTTATAATTCGATTATGCTTATCAAGTAAGTAGTTTGATATTCAGATCTGTTGCTCAGATGGGAGGTCCATGTAAGAGAGTTAATTAGGGAGTCATCAGTATATAGGTGGTATTTTAAGATCATGAGATGGAGTAGAATCACCAGGAAAATAATTTGTAATAAGAGAAGAAAAAAGGCCCAGGACCTAGGTCTGAAGCTTCTGACCAGTAGAAGCAGAAAGAAGGAGGAGCCAGCAAAGGAGAGAGACAGATAGAGGACCGCTGCTGAGCTAAGAGAAAAACTAGGAGAGTGGGACATCAGAAGCATGCTTCAGAAAGGAAGGAATTGTACCAGCTCTGCTGAGAGGATTGATGATGTCTGTTGTGTTGGCCCACATGGAGGTCGTCAGTGGCCTCAGCAGACAGGGTTTTGGTTGAGTAATGGCAGTGGGTAGAGGAGTAAATGACAGGGGAAGGGAAGCTAATCAGATATTAGCTGGAGGATGATGTGGACTCCAGATTTCTTTCTTTAAAAGATCTTATTTTTAAACAATCTCTACAGCCAACGTGGGTTCAAACTCACAACTGCAGGATCAAGAGTCACATGCTCTACCAACTGAGCCAGTCAGGTGCCCCCCGATTTTTTTTTTTTAATTGAAGAGAGTTAATCTTGTTTAAATGCCCACCAGAAGGATCCAGTGGAAAGGAAATGCTATTTCAATAAGCCATAGGTGTATTGGAGACATTGAATGGGTTAAATAGGTATGTTGGAGGGAAGAAAAAAAACCCGAAGTGAAAAGGTTGGATATGTTGATTCGGATCCTATTATGCCTGACCCTGAAAGCCCAGGGAAGAAGTTTAACACTGATGCAGCAGGCAGGAATGCTTACAGATTCTGGAACAGAACAGTGAGCAAGTTGTTTAAGGGCTTTTGGTCCATTATGTCTCCAAGCTGGGAGAGACTGGCATCAGGAGGACCTGTGAGCACAGTTCAGAAATTTAGACGGAACATTCTTAAAGACCTGGACTGGATCCATACCAAAAGGAAAACAAAGGAAAAATATGGAAACATTTCCAGAACCAGTTAGCAGGTTTTAGGGACTGACTGGTTGGTTACCAGAAAAGAAATGGGGGAGGACATTTTAAATAAGTTTTTCTTTTAAAGATTTTGTTTATTTGAGAGAGAGTGAGCGCGAGAGAGAGCACAAGCAGGGGGAGGGGCAGAGTGAGAGGGAGAAGGCTCCCCACTGAGCAGGGAGCTCAACGATCCCAGGACCCCGAGATCATGACCTGAGCCAAAGGCAGCCACTTAATGGACTGAGCCAACCAGGTGCCCCTCATTTGGCATTTTAAAATGTAACATATCAAACATGGTTTGTAAAATCATATTAGTCTTCCCAATTATGAGGTGGAGCTTGCTTTTATTTTAACTTCATGCAGTTAGACAGCTAGCCTCAGTAGGAATAAGTTATGGTCTGGTGTGAGAATGGGGAAAAGACCCAAGAAGTAAGAGTAGCAGCTGAGCCGTCCCTGTTCTATGAGCCCCAGGCTTCTGGCCACCTCTGTGTCCCCCTTGCCATGGTATATGTGTCAGGTGGTGTGCCCTGTTTCAGGGTTCCAGGATGTATTGCCCCACAGTGAGGCTTCCTCACTCACAGTACTTGAGGTGGATTCTGAGTAGTAGAACCTTCTGACTGATTACATTCTGAGCGATAGGACTTGCTGGCTATGCCCATGACGCGGACGCCTGTGCTGCAGATCCGCATGGATGGGGGGTGAGCCGCCATGCACCAATCTTAGTCTGGTCTGACAGTGAATTTTCGCAACCCTCTACACTTAACCTCTGGTAATTACAGTTTTGGAAATGATGTGTACAAAGCTGGGAAGAACCTTTTAAAAAAAGCTTAGGAAAATACTAAGACTAGTGACTTCCTTTGGTGCCAATGAGGTGTCAGAATGGATTAAGAAAAAAGAACAGATGTTGTAACAAATACGACTGGATTGTGTGTCTCATAATACACAGCTGGATGTATTTCACAAATGTATTTGGATATTAAAAAAATTCCTCGTAGTTTAGGTAAGGTGCAAGTAGTAACACCTATGTGGGGAATAAACTGAGATTTGGCAGCAGAAGGGAGGAGTTCCCCTTGGGCTGGAAGTGATGACAGAGTTGATCTGCTGTTCCGTTTGAGCCCTGCCCATCTTCAGAACTGACGAATAGTTGAAAGGAGCCTTAGTTTCAGGGCTGTAAAAGGAATGGCCAGTGGGTCTGTGACGATCAGTGCTGGACCCTCCCGGCTGCCTGTTCTGACAAAGGTTACAGCAAAACTTGAGTTCATCTTCCGTTTTCCTTAGGGGCCCTCGCCAGGATTACTTCATTCTAGAGAACCAGAGTTACTAAAACGTTTTCTTGCTGAGTGATTGCTATCTTCATTTTGCAAGAATAATTAAATAAATCTTTTCTTCACAGAGTATTTTCTCCATTAAGAAGGATGCAAGTCAGACACCTAAAAGTACTAAGTGCTTATCATAGTACTCTTAGCTTTCCAGTAACTTAGTTTGAAAGTTACTTTAGAAACCATAGTTTTTCTGTATATTAGTATGATAGCTTAGCTTTTACTTCTTTTATCTTTTTAAAATATTTTATTTATTTATTTGAAAGAGCATGAGCGGGGTTGGGGGGGCAGAGGGAGAGGGAGAAGCAGACTCCCTGCTGAGCGCAGAGCCCAACAACACGGGGCAGGGCTCGATCCCAGGACCCCGAGATTATGACCTGAGCCGAAATCAAGTTGGCCGCCTACCCAGCTGAGCCACCCAGGCGCCCCCAGCTTAGCCTTTATTATCAAAGTTTTAAAAAGCACTCGACTGTTAGACACAGCAGTGAATGCCATTGGCCTTCACATCATCACCTCTGATTTCAGGATGCTCAGATCTGCAGGTGCTCCTTAGTAGCGGTCCTGGCAGTGGGCTTAGGGCTCCTGTGCCACGTTGGGCTCTGCTTCTGTCCTGTGGACAGGGGCTGCTGCCAGTCTGTGGGGGCATCCCCCCACCACCTCCTACCTTGTGGAGCCCCAGGGATTGGGGACTCATTCTAGGGTCCTTTGTTATGAGGACCTTCAACCCAACGTGCAGAGTTAGATAAATCATAGCAGTCGGCCTTGATTCATCAAAGGGTCTTTGAGTTTGTAGAGTAGGTCCAAAATTTTCATTTACCCTTTAACCTCTGAGGTGGGTTTCATTTCTAGAGCATATAGGAGGTCAGTGTCTGGGTTTTCACCCCCAGAATTTATTTTAATATTGTAATGTAGTATAGACCAAAATAGAGAACAGTTCTTTACCTTACATTTCCCATTATAAATACTCTAAATTCTGTGTCATTTCCATACTGTGTAAATCCCTTTAATGTTTAAAACTGTGCCATAGATACATGTAATATGTCCTCACTCCATTTATTCTTGTCTCTCTGAATAGAAAAAAGCACACCATTTCCACCTATGATAAAAGCAGTGTGTCACTGGATTAGATTAGTCTTAACTTGGTATTATTTGTGTCTTATGATTTCTTAGTCAAATTCGTGCTCATTCACAAGATGTTGGTGAATTTTTTAAAAAATGTTTTAAGAAATTCAGAATGAACTTGCATTTTGTCAGAAAGCTGTTCAATTGCCAAGGTTATGGTTCAAATGCATTAAGCTGCAAGTTACAGAAAACCCAATTTAAGGTGACTTGGATAAAGAGTATTTATTGGTTTATGTCATCAGGCGGCCAGCTTTAGGCTAAGCTCCAAGGTTGATTGATTGGGTATCTCCACAGTGCTACTAAAAATTTGGTTTTCTTCTTTCTATACTCTGCATTCTCACCTTCCTCTTGTGATTGCAGCCATTCCCAGACTTATATGATCCCTTACTCATGTGCAGTAGTGTTTTAGGAGCTCACCCAGAAACCCTCTCCTGCTGTTCTATTGACTTTGGTTGAGGGGTGTGTCCATGCCTTGAACCAGCAACTGTGGCTTATGAGGAGGAGCTCAGGCTTGGAGTCCAGCTTCCCCCAAAGTATAGGGCTGTGGGAGGAGGCACAGAAACTCCAATCAGACCCAAATACTTACGCAGAGTGGCGGAGGGGGCAATATGAGTAAAGGGCACAGTCACCCTCTTCACTATCCCATGTGAGTTGAAGTCACTTGGGTTTCATTTATAAAAGTGCTTGCCTTGTTTCATTGGTTTCTGTTCCTTCTGTCCTTAGGGGCTGTGACGACAACCAAACGGACGGGCATTCCAGCTCCTCGAGAACTTTCAGTAACTGTCTCAAGAGAGAGAACTGTGCCACGCGGTCCCTCCAACCCCAGGAAGTCGGTGTCCAGTCCAACTTCTTCCAGCACACCCACCCCTACTAAGCACCTGAGGACCACTTCCACGAGACCCAAACAAGAGCATGAAGGTGGGGAAAAGGCCGTGCTCGAGTCCCAAGTTCGGGAACTTCTGGCAGAAGCCAAAGCAAAAGATAGTGAAATTAACAGGCTTCGAAGTGAACTGAAGAAATGCAAGGAGAGAAGGACTCAGAGCATCGAAGGAGCTGAGGCGTCAGACTCCAATCTAGACGGAACGTCCGCCTTGCCCAGTGACTCAGAACCTTTGATAAGAGCTCTTGAGGAGAAGAACAAGAATTTTCAGAAAGAGCTTGCAGATCTCGAGGAGGAAAACCGGGCCTTGAGGGAGAAACTGACTTACCTGGAGCACTCCCCCAATTCAGAGGGAGGCGTGAGTCACACTGGTGAGAGCAGCTGCCCAACATCCATAACTCAGGAGTCAAGCTTTGGGAGCCCGACTGGAAATCAGTTGTCCGGTGAAATCGAGGAGTACAGGAACAACATACATGAAAATGCATTACGGACGTCGGGCTCTTCAAGCAGCGACGTTACCAAAGCTTCTCTGTCCCCGGATGCCTCTGATTTCGAGCACATCACCGCAGACACCCCCTCCCGGCCCCTGTCTTCTACCAGCAACCCCTTTAAGAGCTCCAAGTGTTCGACCACCGGCAGTTCCCCTAACAACGTGAGCGAACTTTCCCTGGCTTCCCTCACGGAGAAGATACAGAAGATGGAGGAAAACCACCACAGCACTGCAGAGGAGCTGCAGGCCACTTTGCAAGAATTGTCAGACCAGCAGCAAATGGTGCAGGAACTGACAGCCGAAAATGAGAAACTCGTGGACGAGAAGACGATTTTAGAAACGTCCTTCCATCAGCATCGGGAGAGGGCCGAGCAGCTCAGTCAGGAAAACGAGAAACTCCTAAATCTCTTACAAGAGCGAGTGAAGAATGAGGAGCCCAACACGCAAGAAGGAAAGATCCTTGAGCTGGAGCAGAAGTGCGCAGAAATTCTTGACCAGGGCCGCTTTGAAAGAGAGAAGTTGCTCAACATTGAGCAGCAGCTGACCTGTAGCTTACGGAAGGTTGAGGAAGAAAACCAAGGCGCTTTAGAGATGATTAAACACCTGAAGGAAGAAAACGAAAAACTGAATGGGTTTCTGGACCTGGAACGGCGTAATAACGGCGTGATGGCCCAAAGTCTGGAAGAGTGTAAAGCCACGCTAGAAGGGCTGCAGATGGAACATGGGTCGATGAAGGCTCGTTTGGAGAATGAGAAGCAGAAAGCTATGGAGACCAGCCCCATGGGGCACATGGCAGAGGGTCGTGAGGTTCAAGAAATGTTGAGAGTTGCTCGAGCTGAGAAAGATCAGCTGGAACTGTCTTGCACTGAGCTCAGGCAAGAATTAGTGAAGGCCCATGGTGAAATTAAACATGTCTCGAGCCTCCTGGCCAAGGTAAGGAGGTACCTCTGTGCCCGTGTTTCCTCATCCTTCTTAGCCTTCCCCTCTTTGACCTTTAGATTCACAGAGCGCAGAGATTCCTTAGCTCAGCCAATTTCATTCACGAATCCAGCATTCCATCTTCAAGATCTGTTGCATTCCAGACAGATCGGGGATACAAAAATGAAACACCCCAATTTCTGACTATAGGCAGTTCAAAGTGTAGCAGGGATATAGTGAATCAAATGAGTGAATACGATGCAGGGAGAAAGAGTATCATAGAGGACAGCTCAGAGTCCAGTGCCAAGGAGGAGCACCTAAAATTATAGGGGACAAAGGAAGGTAGTGCAGGAGGGCTTGTTGGAAGAGGTAGCAAATAAGCTGAGTCTTACTGGCTCAGAATGAGAGAGAGTTACCCAGATCAGTTAGCATGCTTTCGGCTGTAACTGCTAACAGAGAATTAAAATCATCCCTAATTTCCCTACCAAGTAATAGTATAACCGCTATTTTGGTGTTTTCTTTCAGATTTATGTGTGTGTGTGCCCCACAAGTTAAAAAAAATTTTTAGAGGTGCCTGGGTGGCTCAGTCGGTTGGGAGTTTGACTCTTGGTTTCAACTTAGGTCATGGTCTCAGGTTCGTGGGACTGAGCCCCACATAAGGCTCCCCATTCAGTGGAGAGTCTGCTGGGGATTCTCTCTCTCTCTTCTTCTGTTACTCCCCCTGCGGGTGCACACGTGCTCTCTCTCTCAAATATAAATAAGTGAATCTTTAAAAAAAAAATTTTAGACTTCTCTTGTACATACTCTTTTTTAATTTAATATTTTCTGAGAATATTCTTCTCATTTACTCTTTGAAACATGATTTTACGGTGCCTGGGTGGCTCAGTCGTTAAGCATCTGCCTTCGGCTCAGGTCATGATCCCGGAGTCCTGGGATCGAGCCCTGCATCGGGCTCCCTGCTCCGCGGGAAGCCTGCTTCTCCCTCTCCCACTCCCCCTGCTTGTGCTCCCTCTCTCACTGTGTCTCTCTCTGTCAAATAAATAAATAAAATCTTTAAAAAAAAAAAAAAGAAATATTTATATAAGAGAATACTGTCTGGCCCTAAAATCATGTTTCTTTTTTCTTTTTTTTAATGATTTTATTTATTTATCTAAGAGAGCATGAGCCAGGTGGAGGGGCAGAAGGAGAGGGAGAAGCAGATTCCCCACTGAGCTGGGAGCTTGACTCTGGCTGATCCCAAGACCCGAGGATCATGACCTGAGCCGAAGGCAGACCCCTAACCGACTGAGCCACCCAGGCGCCCCTAAGTTTGCCCTGTCTTACGTGTACAGGGCCACCGATCTGTAATTGGAGTGGAGTTGTAAACTGTGCTAACCTTCCTGTCCTTTTCTGTTACCTTTGAAAAGGTAAAAACCCAGACTTTCTAGGCTGCCTGGAAGCTTACTGTAGAAGCCCCAATACAGGATATCAACTAATCCACCAGCAACCATGAATTCAAGTTATAAGATGTAAGGGACTCATGCCCCAAAGAAACAGGAACACTTTCAGCACAAAACCATCCTGAAGGATGGGAAGGTGGTGGCTTGGTAGGTGGAAAGTTTGGGTCCTCCTGACTTAGCTAATGGTTCAGTCTGTGACCTTGGGCAGGCCCCTCTCTGCTGCGCAGTGCTGAATAGAAGTGTGGTGGTGCAGGGACCTTGGCCTTGTTTAACAGGAGTGCCTTCAACATTTCATCAAGGATGTCTGTTGTAAGCACTTGTTGTGTACCTTTTATTGAGTGATACAAGTATTTTGCTTGCCTTTTTTTTTAAAAGGTTGGAGATTGAAATTTTCTACATCTACTGTAGATCTTCCACATCTGCCATGATCTTAGAGTAGTTTTTATGTGATCACGGTGGTTTCTCTACTTGTTAATGAGATAAATTACAATAATAGATTTTCTAAGGTAGTCTAGTGTTAAATCATCTCTGCATTCCTGGGGTAAATCCTAATTCTTCGGTTCTCAATCGCCTCGCCAGACATTTTTGCATAGAACTTTCACGTTTAACTGCCTTAAGCAGATGTCAAGGTGAGTGTCCTATTCATCACCAAGCAGTTTTCTTGGTGATAAACAACTTCTACCCGAACTCTTCATTCATCCACTCTAATTCTTGGCAAAATATGAATATTATGAGAAATAACAAAATCACATATTTACAGAGAGGAAAAGCAGTACCAAACCATCCTATGATCTGATAGATGTAGTAAGTCCATAAAAGTTTCCAGTTTGGCTAAATTACATAAATGAGTCAGATACTGTGAGAAGAGCCTCTGAAAAGCCTTAAAATTTACTTTTTTTTTTTTTTAAAAGATTTTATTTATTTATTTGAGAGAGAGAATGAGATAGAGAGAGCATGAGAGGGGGGAGGGTCAGAGGGAGAAGCAGACTCCCTGCCGAGCAGGGAGCCTGATGCGGGACTCGATCCTGGGACTCCAGGATCATGACCTGAGCCGAAGGCAGTCGCTTAACCAACTGAGCCACCCAGGCGCCCTAAAATTTACTTCTTTGGGGGGGGGGGGCACAAGATGGATCTGTTCCCCACAGTAAATGGAAAATTGGTAGGACATTTACAATCATTGTGATTATTTTGGAGGCTTTTTATTCCTCTCCTTTCTTTGTCTTCAGTTAGTATCTCCATTCTTGTCAGCTTCTCTGATCTCCAACACAAATTTTGCTGGCAGCTTCCTGTATGATTATAGAACGTGCCTCCGTACGACTTTGAGGAAGGGTCTCCTTTCCAGAGTCCTGATTGTTCAGCCTCCTGTAAGCCTCTCATACGGCTGCCCCAGCCAGCGGCAAGGAGCGTGTTGTTGCATGAGATTCTTGGTTTTCTGGACAATAATGCAATCCAGGTTTATGTTCTTCTGACGTTCAAATTTTCAGTTGTTCCGGGATCTTGATTTCAAGTTAGAATGTTTTCACAAGGCTTGAAACACAGAAGTTTTAAAAGAAAATACTGATTTTTTTCCCCCAAGGTCAAAAGCTATAGGTGGTATCCTTTTAGAGATTTAGTTCTCACTGTAGAAACTCAGGTGTCTTTTCCAGAAGAGAAAGGAGATTATAAAGAAACACTTGCTATGAGTGGTCAAGGAAAACTAGGGGTACAGTAATCCCTGCATGACCAGTATTGGTCACCAGGCCTAACTAATTAGGGGGGGCCACTGGTCACAAGTGGCAAAACCAGAATTTGAGAGAAAGATGTGACAAGGATGGGCCCTGAGCTCTGTCAGGTCATCGTCCCTACGGCAGATCGGCTAGGCTCACTCGTATGAAAGCCGCCTGCCCATCCCTGGCGTCTTGGAGGAGCTCAGAAGTATTGGTGAATCTGTGTGGTGGAGTTCAGGAGAACGTAGGGATCACTTCCCCTTCGTGCACCATGCACTGGGTACTCTTGGGAGAGTCGGTTATGGTTGAATTGTTCAGGCTGAAGACACGGACATTTCAGTGGTCTTCACCTCAGACTGTTTCCCTATTCTCTCCAGTGCCTTTGGCTGACAACAGTTTATCAGTTCTCTGGGCAGAGCAGAGTCCTGTGACTTCATGCTGAGAAGAAGGCAATAAGAAACTTGTGGGGGCACCTGGGTGGCTCTGTTGGTTAAGCATCTGACTCTTGGTTTCGGCTCAGGTCAGGATCTAAGGCTCCGAGCTGGGCGTGGAGCCTGCTTAAGATTCTCTCCCTCATCCTCTGCCCCTCCTCTCCCACCCCCGCCTTGCACGTGCGCGCTCTCTCTCTCTCAAAAAAAAGGAAAGGAGGGCGCCTGGGTGGCTCAGTTGGTTGGGCGACTGCCTTCGGCTCAGGTCATGATCCTGGAGTCCCTGGATCGAGTCCCGCATCGGGCTCCCTGCTCGGCAGGGAGTCTGCTTCTCCCTCCGACCCTCCCCCCTTTCATGCTCTCTCTCTCTCTCAGTCTCTCTCTCTCAAATGAATAAATAAAATCTTTAAAAAAAAAAAAAAAGGAAAGGAGAGGAAAAGAAATTTGTGTGACAGAGCCTGTTTTCCAGTCCTCCCGAGGAAGTCAAGTGGAGACACTTGTCCAGGCAGGTTGGGGAAAGGCCTGCAGGCTCTGCACTGGGAAGCCTTCACGGGGGGCTGTTGCTCAGGGACTGTGCCTCAGGCCCCGGCCTGGTAGTGCAGAGTTTGAAGCCTGCTGTGCACCAGGAGCTGGAGCTTAGGAAGTGGCCTCTGTAGAGCCAGAATGCCCTTTTGTCCTTTATTAGGTCAGACATGACAATCATGTGGCCCAGGACACACAGCAGTCACATGTCGCGTGACTGCCGGCTCCCTCGGCTCCCCAACCTCCCCCCCCCGCCCTGTAGGGCTCTGCTCTTGCAACCTTGTGCAGGGGGGTGGGAGCTGAACCTGAGGGTTTGGCCAGGAGACATCCGATGTTTGAGTAAGGGTGGTCTTGCCAATAGGACCAGACCCCCTGGATCTGTGCTCCTACCCCCTGTGCCTCCATGTAACTCAGAAGAGGGGGCGCTGCTTCTCCCGTGGACCCAAGTGTGGGCTCTCCCTTCTGGAATTCCTGGGCTGATTCCCCCTTCCCTTTGGAGGGGCCCATTTTTCCCTTTAGACATGTTCATATCCTTCCTGACGTTATGCCTGAACACCATTCTTCCCTTCACTTGACCTTAGGACTTGTCTGCGAAGCCCCAGCATTTGTCTCTCCTGGGTGAGCACTCGGGAAGCCCCTCTGTGAGCACTCATCTGGAAAATCTAGAAAGTTCCAAAGTGAAATGCAGATTTTTACCCTCTTCTTTGAGTGTTTATTATAGCCATTTTTCTTTTTCTTTCTTTCTTTCTTTTTTTTTTTTTTAAGATTTTATTTATTTATTTGAGAGAGAGAGAGAGAGAGAGTGAGCATGAGAGGGGGGAGTGGGAGAGGGAGAAGCAGACTCCCCACCAAGCAGGGAGCCCGATGCGGGACTCGATCCCAGGACTTCAGGATCATGACCTGAGCCGAAGGCAGCCGCCCAACCAACTGAGCCACCCAGGCACCCGCCATTTTTCTTTTTCCATGACAAAAGTGTAAACTGAATTAGCACGTTCTCCTCTACCTTGCTTGGCAGGGCAGCATTACAAAAAAAAAAAAAAGTTCAAGTTTTGGTCAGCATGAATGAAATATGGCTCTCCATCAGCAGTATATATTCGGAACAGGGCCAAGAATTAAGCAAAAGGAGTTTTGGAGGAACCAAGTTAGATGTACAAACAAACACAGCAGAAGTAACACATTCTTATTCCTGGTGAAGTTACTAAAGCAATCACTCCAAGTTTATTCACGTTCACATTCTGTACAGCTAACCCTTGTACAGCATGGGTCCTCGTATATGTGGGCTTTTTTTTTTCTTTTAAAGATTTTATTTATTTATTTATTTGAGACAGAGAGAATGAGAGAGACAGAGAGCACATGAAAGGGGGGAGGGTCAGAGGGAGAAGCAGACTCCCTGCCAAGCAGGGAGCCCGATGCGGGACTTGATCCCGGGACTCCAGGATCATGACCTGAGCCGAAGGCAGTTGCTTAACCAACTGAGCCACCCAGGCGCCCGGCTTTTTTTTTCCAGCAAGTACAGTACTGTAAATGTATTTTCTCTTCCTTACGATTTTCTTTTTTCTTTTTTTTTTTTTTAAGATTTTATTTATTTATTCATGAGAGACAGAGAGAGAGAGAGAGGCAGAGGCAGAGGGAGAAGCAGGATCCCTGCGGAGCAGGGAGCCCGATGTGGGACTCGATCCCAGGACCCTGGGATCATGACCTGAGCCAAAGGCAGACGCTTAACCGACTGAGCCACCCAGGCATCCCTCCTTACGATTTTCTAAATAACATTTTCTTTTCTCTCATTTCCTTTATTCTAAGAATACAGTACATAATGCATATCACATACAAAACATATGTCAACCCACTGTTTATGTTATCGATAAGGCTTCCCAGCCAATAGAAGGCTATTAGTGGTTAAGTTTTGGTGGAGTCAAAAGTTCCGGTTTAGTAAAGTCATAAAGTTTTGACTGTGGCGGGGAGGTTGGTGCCCCTAACCGCCCCCTTCCCCTTGTTCACGGATCAGCTGTGTAATTTTAACATTGTGACTTCTTCCATATATTAGATATCCAGGAAATACTTGTTGAATAAATGAGTGAATGTTAGAGACACTTGTCACCGAATTAGGGGAGAGGCTGCTATAGTGCTATGAATATGTTAAAAAATAAAATTATGGTCATATTTTAATAATAACTAATATTTTAGGGCTTTATATGTGCTAGGACTCTTCAAGCCTTTAGATCATCTAATCTGATTTAATCGTCATAATTTTATGCTAGAGATACTGTTGTTGTCTAATTTTTTGCATCTGAAGAAGCTGAGGCAGAGAATGGCTCGGCGACTAGCTAAATTGATGAATTGATGAAGGCCAGGGTTCACAGTGGGGTCTGACCCCCAGAACTGTTACTCCTCATCACTGATTTGTGCTGCTTCCTGGTTCCGTGGCAGTGAAGAGACAGAAAAACATCTGAGGCCGACCTGAGGACTCTGACACACTGTGGTCTTAAGGCCAGAGAGTTTTGGTGGGAAGAAAACCACCTTTCAAGTCTCAGCGAATGAGGAGAATTTTACTTGATTAGAACACAACAGAGAAATTCACAGTGAAACCCTGAGTCATCAGGACATGTCCTTTTGTTTGATTTACAACCTGAATCTTGAGGGGAGTAGGAGGTCACCGGGGGAGCTTGCGGGGTGGGGACAGCAGGAATGTGGCCAGAAGAGAACATCTAGTTCTCAGGCCAGAAAGGTTGGCCCAATCCTGGAAGTGACGCGAGTAGTTTCCAGTGTCTGGAAATAGTGCGGACCCTTGATGGTAACCTTTTCCTCAGTTTCAGTGTCTGACAAGCCAGGGGAAAGGTTCTCACCCCATCTCTTCTCGGAGCCGCCCTCCCTGTCCCTGTGTCCCCCATCCTGGAAGGCTGGAGACCGGGCTGAGCCCTGCAGGGTGGGGGAGTCCCGAGTGGTCTCTGCTGCCATCTGCCTCTGGGACTGGCTCTAACCATCCCTCTCCAGGAAGGACTGGGGCTCCCCGGGGAAATTCATTTGACTCTGTTTGTAATGCAATTCTGCACACCCCATGTCTAGAGCAAGTTGATTTTTGAAGATGAGAGGTCTTCCTTGGATGCGTGAGAGGGATTTCTTTTCTGAAGAGGAGACATTGGAAATCACTTTGCTGGTTGTCTGATAGTGTAGCCGTTGAATGAAAAAACTGGCCAGTGGGAAGGCCAGTCCCGTGGACGGCAACCCAGAACCCCAGAGGGTCATGGCAGTACAAGGTGCTGGCCGTAGCTACCTGATAAACTGGACTCTTTTCAAGTGGCTTTACTTCTCCCTCTCTCCATTTGTTAATCTGTAAAATGAATATAACAATAGCTGCCTGTTATTACCCAGGAAGCTCCTGCAGGCAGAAATTATGAAGTTACTTAAGAGTTTCTGTTGTTGTTGTTGTTGGTTTTCATAAGAGAGCTTTCTGGAATATATTGCTGAACTTGAGAGAATGAGTCCCAAATTAAGAAGGAAGAATGAGGTGTGTGATTTAAAACAACATACTGACTTACAAGTTCAATGGCCCCAGCCGTCCGCAGCACCCATCCCAGGGGCCCCTCCCCACCGCTCTGCTTACCATTTGGTGCTTGTGATCACGACAAGCCAACACGAAGGAAGTAAAGCTGGGTCGGGGCCCTTGGGAGGCCAGCAGCCTCAGCTGCACGTGGAGACCCCCCCACCTCGGGGTGCTCATCCTTTCTGGTTCCCTGGTTACACCCTCCAGTTTCACTCCTGGCCCACACATTGTGGATATCAGTGTGGCTACATCTCAAAAACACAGTTAAAAACAAGTTTCACAGGGGCGCCTGGGTGGCTCAGTTGGTTAAGCGACTACCTTCGGCTCATCGTGATCCTGGAATCCCGGGATCGAGTCCCACATCGGGCTCCCTGCTCAGCAGGGAGTCTGCTTCTCCCTCTGACCCTCCCCCCTCTCATGTTCTCTCTCTCTCTATCTCATTCTCTCTCTCAAATAAATAAAATCTTAAAAAAAAGTTTTACAAAAGCATAAGAAGTATAGTATAGTACAGGACAAAAGCATCTTACCATATAATGTAATACAGAGCGACAGTATACTGCAAAAGCATAATTATAGTATAATATGATTTGTATAAAAATTTTAAAACGGGACGCTTGGCTGACTCAGTCAGTGGAGCATGTGACTCTTGACCTCAGGGTTGTGAGTTCGAGCCCACGTTGGGTGCAGAGATTAAATTACTTAAAAATAAAAATAAAACAAAAGATAAAATAAATTTTTTTTTAAAGATTTTATTTATTTATTTATTTGAGAGAGAGAATGAGAGACAGAGAACATGAGAGGGAGGAGGGTCAGAGGGAGAAGCAGACTCCCCGCCGAGCAGGGAGCCCGATGCAGGACTCGATCCCGGGACTCCAAGATCATGACCTGAGCCGAAGGCAGTTAGTTGCTTAACCAACTGAGCCACCCAGGCGCCCAAGATAAAATAAATTTTTAAACACAGCAATACTGTGTATTATCTCGGGCACATTCATATGCAGTAAAAGTGAAAAACCATTCAAGCAACAACCACACCACTTTTCGGATAATGCGAATTACTCTCTGGGGCGGGAGAGAAGGTTGGGACTTTACTAAATCCTGCTAAAGTAAAAATATTTAGCAAATGCGGCAAAATTTCATCACTGTGAAGTCCGTTTGGGCACATGGTTATTATCTTGTCACTCTGGGTGCTCTTCTGTGTATTTAAAATGTTTAATGATTCAGAACTGAAAAGGTGAAATGAGTGCTTGTCCTGTGCCGCTTCTCTGTGTCTGGTGCATGCCCATGTTTCAGTTCTGTGCCTTCAGCTGGTGTTCTCCGTCACATGAATGTCACATTTCTCTAAAGAAACACTGTACCCGAAGTACCTTACGGCTAAAGACATTTGGCGTTTGCAGGGGATCGGTCGGGTCTCGGGGGCATTGTTCCTGGATTGCCCAGCAGAGGGCGCTGCTCCACAGCAGATGTGAGGAGGGGAGCCTCGCCCGCATCCGGGCCAGCGCTCCGGGTGCAGTACCAGAGCCTCCCAGGGAAGCGCTCTTGCACCCAGTCACAGGACCGCAGGGCACCTAACCACCTGCAGCTTCCTTCATGCCTGTAGGGAGGGACACAGGCTCCACCATATTTGGCCGTTTGCAGACAGTCACGTTTCTCTGTATATTTATAGCCTTGGCTATTTCCGAGGCTAAGAATACAGAAATGATACCAGGGTATAGCACATGCCAAGAGCTTCCTCCGCTGTTGCATGGATGAGCCTGATGCTGATAGGTGAGGAACTCTTTCCTGGTAAACTGACCAGGCAACCTTCCTTTCATTTTAGGTGGAAAAGGATTATTCTTACTTGAAGGAGATATGTGATCATCAAGCAGAACAACTGAGCCGAACCAGCCTGAAACTGCAAGAGAAAGCATCAGAGAGTGATGCGGAGATTAAAGACATGAAGGAAACCATATTTGAATTGGAAGATCAGGTGGAGCAGCATCGGGCTGTCAAGTTACATAACAACCAGCTCATTAGTGAGCTAGAGAGTAAGTGAACTCGAGCCCTGGTCAGACGTGGATCAGGAGTGAGCACGATGTGAACCGAATGCCTGGGAGGGTCTGTGAGAATGGTTGTGAAAAGTCTTCCTTCCTCGTATTCGGCAGTCTTGTAGGAACAATGGCAGTCAAGAAAGGCAGAGTGATTAACCTCTTTAACTGGAAAAGAACTGGAAAAGTGGGTGGTGTGGAAGAAAGATTGTTGAACATGAGTCAGCAGCACGGGGTGATTGTGAAAAAGAGCAAACACATTTTGGAGTGTTAGGTCTACTGTGCATGAGCCACACCACTGCCCACGCTCACTGGGTATTGACAGAGCATTGTCTTTTGGATCTGACAGGTAGGAAGACGGGTGACAGATGGTCAGATGGATTTGAACAATGGGCTAGGGAGAAAACCGTTCTAGCATGTGTCCCATTAAGCCAGGATATCAAGTAACTTCTAGAGATCGGCCACTTCATCACCAAAGAGGCTCCAGTATTTGGCTTCTTTATGAACTCATTGTTTGCTTTGAATAGGGAAAGACGTTAAAAGGGATTAGTTAAACATTGCCTGCTTTGTCCAAATAAGCTTTATCAAATTATCACATCTAATGTGTTTTGCTTTTGTCACAAAGGAATTAATGCACAGAGCTTTCCGTGACACTCACCATTGCTAAAAATAGCGTAGTTGGTTGCCTGAAAAGTTCCCCGACTTGTTCGCCCATCCTCATTATTTGCGGAAGCCATATCTGGGAATTCACCTGCTTGCCAGAATTTATTTGTAACCCCAAAATCAACACGGCACTTCTCACATCATTTGCAGACGTGCACAGAGAGCGCAGCAAAAAATTTTAGTCTCCCCAAGTGCATTCCCAGCTCAGCTCGAACAAGGTGACCCTTTGCCTTCTTCTTGTTTCAGCTCTCATACTGCAAACAAGTATCTTTCTCGTGGTTATTTGGTGCCATGATTTTTGTGCCTTTTTTTTTTTTTTTTTTTTTGGCTATTTCACTGTATAAAGTGGCCCCTAAATGAAGTCCTGAAATGCCGTCTGGGGTCCCTACGGCTGGAAAGCCGGGATGTGCCTAATGGAGAAAATAAGTGTTAGATGAGCTTTGTTCAAGCACGAGTTTTAGTGCTGTTGGCTGTGAGTTCAATGTTAACGAAAACTTCCAGAGAAAGGAAGATAGAAATTCACCACTCTGGAAAATGCTGAAGTAAAATCTGTGGCATGTGACGAAGATGTGCAGCTATATTTGCGGATTCACAAGATGATGTCTGGCTAAAAAAAAAAATAGCGGACTACATTATTGTGCAACTAAAAACCAGAGACTTTTACAGTCATGTTTCCCAGGGTCAGAAAAGCGTTAGACCCTTCTGAGCTGGTGCTGGCTGGCTCTTGAAGCTTGGAAGGCCTCACAGCATGAGAAAAGGTAAAAACTTGCAGGCGAGGCAGGTTCTGTCGATCAGGAGGCTGCTGAAGAATTTTTAAAATACCTACTGAGTGTTAGCAGGAAAAGGGTTATGTGGGTAAGCAGGTTTCCAGCACTGATGGGACGGGCTTGTTTTTTTTTTTTTTTACAAGGACACTGGCAAACGACTCTGTATAACAGAAGTAATGTCTCCTTTGATAAAAATGTTGTGATCAGAGGCTTGCAGGAACCGAACCCTGTATTTCCCGTAGGAGCAAAGTTCAGTATTTGCGAATTTGGCGTGCATGGCGACTTTATGTAATTGCCACAAATCATGAGAGTTGACTGTGTGTTCTACACCTTGATTGCTTGGTTAGCACCAGAGTTCCATCCTTCACTGGATGTGATACACAGCAGAATTACAGAACATCAGCATTCAGTGTCAGCATCATTTAGACAGTTCTCAGTAATTATGCTTGAGAAGATAACTAAAGCCCACCACCATTGACAGTGTATATTTCCAAACAGCACCATACTTGAAGAGCGTATAAAGTCAAAGAAGAGAAGTCCAGTTTTGCTTTGTCTCTGATATATTGCTCATGAGAATTTGGTTGTGTTGTCCCCAAATCCTTAAAAGTCAAGCACAACCCCACCAAGAAAACCAGCTTATAATTAATGTCCAGAGCAGATGTCCACACCATTCCCTATGGTTGTATCCTAACATAATCCAAGATTGAAAATAACATAGACTGGCTGTCTTTTGAGGAGCTTTTTAACTTTTGTCCAGGGTGTTAAGGTAGTACTAAGATGTCTTTTCACTAGGAGGCCCAGGGACACACAAATCCAGCCTGAGACCAGTCACTCCTCCCTATAAGATCCTCGAGAGAAATGGACAGAAAAGTAAAAAGAAGTGAAGGAGTGATTTCTTATTCTGCCTCATTGACCCCAAACACAGATTCTCAGGCCCCACATGCTGGATTAGAATGGTTGGGGTGGGACCCGACCGTGTGTCGTTTATTCTCATTGAAGCTTCTCTGATAATTCTGATTCATATCCTCAATAGACAGCTACTGCCCTGGAACGAATCATGAAGAACGATTGAAGAATTTTAACTAGGTAATGGACATGATCAGATTTAAATTGAAATGACTCTGGTAACAACATGGAAGAATCAGAGGCACAGAGAGAAGGGGACTGAGGATATTCTTAATTAGAGAGAGCAGTCAGGTCACCTTTGGAGCTGTTAAAATGCACCCACCCAAGATCCTGTCTTCCCATGGGTGTTCCCGCTCTGTGGGTCACAGTCTGGGGCTTTGAACAGGTTTGCTTTTGAGAGGCTTCCCAGGTGATTCTCTGGTCTAACTACAATTAAAAACCACGACTCTAGCAACTGGTCTAAAAGCCACCATAGTAATAACCAGTCATATTCTCTGTTATACAAAAGCCCTCTACCTCACAGCGATAAAGGACATTCAGGACCATAATATGCGACCACCAGGGGGGCCAGGAGTGAGTGTTAATAAATACGAGTGGCTATTCAGACCTCTTCCCATAGTGCTGCCTGACTGTTCCATCTGAGAGTATAACCTAACTCAACACCACTTATTCCCCAAACCATCCCATTTTCTGTGTTGGAAGAACCTCCAGTTTCTAGCTGCCAGGTTTCAGGGTGCTGAGGATGGAATTTATAGCAGAAGGGATGGATTTGAAATCTGGAGCTGCTCCCTCGCTACCTCGCTTACTTTCTCCCAGGAGTCTGGCGCCTTTTCCAACTCCTGTCTGACTTGTTTATTTCCAGGCAATGTGATGAAGCTGGAGGAACAGAAGTCAGACCTGGAAAGGCAGCTGAAGACTCTGACTAAGCAGATAAAGGTGAGATTTGGCTACAGCAGGGGATAGGGAGCCTTCTCTGTCGTTTTACTAAGCGCATCCCCGCCTTCGGTTTGGAACCCTTCGAAAAAGACCCTGTTGACTCTTGTAGCCTGCTTTCTCAATACCTTCCCGTGGGCCCTGGAACCACAGAGTAGTGTTGGCAGGAAACAAAATCAAAGCAGTCTTTGAATTTCAGGATAAACGCTGATAGCACAAGAGCGTCCTTCCCAGCCGGGCCGGGCCTTTTCCCCGGTGGTGGGACGGCACTGAAGCAGGACTCACTAAGGGCTGCCTGACGTGGGGCCCCTGGGGCCCCTGCCCACACACCGGCCCCAGCTGGCCTCTGACGCCGGCGTGGCTTCTGGCATTTTCAGGAGGAGACAGAGGAGTGGAGGCGGTTCCAGGCGGACCTGCAGACGGCGGTGGTGGTGGCCAACGACATCAAGTGTGAGGCTCAGCAGGAGCTGCGTACCGTGAAGAGGAGGTTGCTGGAGGAAGAGGAGAAGAACGCCAGGCTGCAGAAGGAGCTGGGGGACATGCAGAGCCACGGCAGGTCGGTCACGACAGAGCCCCGCGTTTGTGAGTCTACGGGCACCCACACCTGCTTGGCTTCTCCCTTACTCACCGTGCATGAGCCTTCGCCGTCTAGAGACGTGGCGCTTCTCTGTCTCTCTGTGCAGAATCTTTTATTTCTCTTCTAAGCTCACTAGACCTCTGCTGCCACCACCACACAACCAGGAATGGTCCATTCAGGGCTGGGCCACTGCCCTTCTCTGGCCTGAGGCAGTGAGAAAACTCTTCACTCACCTGTGTGCAAAAGTTTTAGCCAAGTGTCCTCCTACATTTAAAAAATAGAAGTACGTCTAGGATGCTCCTTTCCTCTTGGTGCTTATTAGTGCAGGGGAGCATACACTTCCCCGGGCCACGGCAACACCTTGCGTGGGTCCCTCTCCTGCCGTGGGCAAGACTGGACTCACTCCTGGGGGATTTGCCACCAGAGCAAGGACCCACTCCTCATGGCCCAGGGACATGCTTCTCCCTTGGCAACGCCTGGGGTCTGCCCCCAAAAGCCCTTGAACGAGCCCACTTTATTAAAAAGGATGAGCATGGAAAACATACATCTGGCTGACACATGACTTTCCCTTTCTGTGCCGAGGGAGGGAAATCACACGGTGTGTTGTTCCAGAAAGCTCTTCCTAACAGCGAGGTTTCAGAGGAAGGTGTTGCTAAAGTGAGCTCAAAGTTCATTATTATTTGAAATTTAAAGGGTTCACAGACGAGATGACAAACAGTACTTCAGGCCTTAACGAATGCAGTGTTCCCAGTCGCTAGTCCAGAATAACTCTCCCTAACTTTGAGATTCTTGGATATTAGGAAATTATTTTGAATTTTCAGATGTCTTTCAAATATGAAACATAGTATTTTAAAATCAGATTTAGTAAGTTCTGAATGCTGATTTGTGCAGTTGGCCCTCTTTACAAGTTTCCAGGATCAAGAGGGTTGTTCATTGGCTAGATTCTGAGCCTCTGGGTCTGATGTATTATCGTGAGTTTCATGACATTAGAAAAAGTAGATTTCTTCTCAGAATTCTGTGTTGATTCTCTCACCAAACTCGCTTCAGTCGGTCCCTCCTTCCTTCATTTATGAGTCTTATATGGAACAGGCTGCAGGGGCGCCCGGGTGGCTCAGTTAGGCGTCCGACTCTTGATCCCAGCTCATGTCTTGATCTCAGGATAGTGAGTTCAAACCCCACATTGGGCTCCACGTTGGGCATGGAGCCTGCTTAAAAACAGGCTGTAGAGAAGGATTCAGATTAAGATGTGTGTAGCTAGTTCCATGACTCACTCTTGAAAATCAAGATCGTTGTTTTATAGTCACACCTATACCCTCTGTCCACCAAAGCATGTGAATTTTAAGTTAAGGAGGAAGGGGAATCGCAAGACTAGACTTGAGAGTGTCCCCTGTTGAAGGGATCATGAGTCCCCTCGTTTGCTTTTGTGCTTCTGTTTAATTTGTCCACTTGTCTTGCTTTTATGATGTGTGTCTTTGGAAGAGGAACCAGATCATAACTTGCATCGCTTCGTACATGTGTTATTGTAAAGATAAATGATAAAAGACGAGTCTCGAGTTCATGTAGTTATCATACAAGCTGCTGCATTTCTTACCTGGAGTCTACGATACAGGCCAGATCATACAACTCGAACTCTGATACCGTAGGAAATCTCCGCACGAATCTTGACGATTAGGATCCATATACGATATTCTACACCGTCAAACATAGAGTCACCTTATTTTTTTTTTACAAACACGGTACATTTCTCTTATGACTTTTCTGGTGATTTGCAAACCTACCACCCAAATCCAGCAGTTTAATCCCTTATCACAAAACATTTCAAAATTGTAGGGCTGACACCAGCCCAGGACATGGCATATGACTGAAACCCCACAGGCGTCAGTGGGTTTGGGGCCTGTCATTGCCTTGGGCAGGGTTTCAGACAGCAGCCAGACCCAGTGTTCCGCCCTGATTCTGCAGACTGCCCCTTCTAAAGAGTTGACTCTGAAAGTTACTCACTGCTGGCTCAGCCACGTCCTGAACCTGCCCCCGAGCAAGACTTGAAACCAACCCACACCCTCAAAGGTCCTGAAGCGATGTAGTGTTTCCATCCTGGCCGAATGGGTTCTCGACTGAAACTGGACTTGACTTTGACAGTCATTTCATGAGAACTCAAAGGCATTTTTGGCTCAGCCACAGCCAAAGAACTTGCAGAAAATGCTCTGATGAGGTCCTCCAAGTACAACCAAGAGAAGGTAAGAGCACTTGAAAAGCACCTTGATCCTCACATGGCATTAACAGATTCGCATTCTCACTTTGCATATACAGGCATTTGAGGGGATATAGTCAGGCAAGTAGGATTTTAGAAAACTCTAAGAACCAGCTTGTTAGCAATCTTCAGTCTTACTGTGTCTTCAAAAGGATTTTTATTTTGGAGTCAGAATAACGGATGTGAAGAGTAGATGGGGAAACGGGGCTCTAGTCTTTGCCACCAACTGGCAAGATTTCCTTCCCAGACCCAGCTGCTCCCTTCCTCTAAGGAGATGAGAGTGGGTTGTGATTGAAGATCCCTGTAAACTCCACTGTTCCCTGAGACTAGTTGGTCAGCTGGCCTTTCTCCAGTGGGGGAGTGAGGAACTCATATGCCAACTGTACCATCTGTCCAATGCGGTCCTTGGAACCTGCTGGACACAGTGGCATCTCTACATTTTAGCTGGGCTGTGGACCTCCTCTTTTTCTTCCAGGAATTTGAACAAGCCAATGTAGTTTTTAGGCACCTGGAAGTGATCTGTTTTTGCTGGACACTTACAAACTAAGGGATGAAAGGATACTGAATAACTTTTTCAACTTTGGCTTCTTCCACCCTTGAGCCATTAAGAGCAAGCCATTACAATTCAAACTTCCATCGAAATTAAAACATCAAGCCTTTTTCCTGAAAAGTTGAGACCTGGGGCCTGGCCTCCAGATACAGAGAACACACACATGCAGCTCCCCTCAGTGACTTGATGGGGCCACACGAAGGACATTGTTGACCAGCAGTGCATGACATGGGCTTCTCGAACAGTAACAGGAAAGACCATGTACCTTTTTTCTCTTACTCTGAAACACTAAAGGCCATTATTTTTAGGGTGACTTACTCGATTTTTACCGTTCATCCTATGACACCAATAAACTTCCACGGAAAACATCTTTAAAAAGAGATGGTTAACAAAACACCTAAACGTCGGTGCCTAATTAGCAGTAGGGACTTCTAAGCAGAAGGTCTGAGATTCAGAACGTGTCTGGCTTCTTCCACTGGCTCCTGCATCGTCACCTCTGAAGCGAGCAGCATGGTGGCCCGTCACTGCCGGACTCTTCTGGAATCGGCTCTAACTCTGTGTGCACGGTGTATCCTGCCCTAATGTCAGCTGCCTGCCTTTGCCACTCTCTTTGTCCTTACAACTGTTGTGCGTCACAGCTGTGGGTTCTAGAGCCGTCACTGAAAGGCCGAGTGTGGGAGCTGGTGGTGTAGACGCTCGGGGTCACTGAGATACCTTTTCCAGCTCTCTTGTTGCAGATAACTTTGATACAGCCGCCCTAGCCCTGCCAGAAGGGGACCAGTCCTCGGGGGGAGTTCCTGATCAGAGCCTCGGGGGCCCCTGACACGTTGGCATCACAAGCCTTCCACGCCTTCCGCTTTCATAGCTGCCATCCGCGTCGCCGGCATTGGACACACGGCCCGGAATGGCGACGAGCTGGGTCTGCTGCCCTGCCCCCCGGCCCCCATCTTCACAGAGTTGCTTTGCAAAGCGTGGACATGAAGCTTCCCCGAGGCCTTTAGGACTCCTAAGCCTCAGTACTGAAAGAAATCCTTTTTTCTGGGTTGTTTTTTTTTTTTGGCCTTGACTGTAAGACAGTAGAGGGAAGCTCGAGCCACTCTGTAAATTACAGAGGCCCCCGATTTTGTGCATCCTGGCCGTCTCTACTTCCCCGACACGTTGTCTGTTAGAGGAGGTCTAGGGAGAGGGGCCCAGTAGTGGTGTTCTGAAGTCTTTGGCATGTTTTCTCCGTCCAAAGACCTTTGACTTCCAAAAAAAAAAAATTAGAGGAGTAGGAATTAAAACACATTGGTCCTATTCTAGATACTAGCTCTTCCCTGTGGGTCAGTAGCACCTGTTAAATCTTCTGTTTGTAGCCTGAGATCATGTTGCCTCAAGTAACTCCTTTATGAGCCTTCCCCCCCCCTCCATTTCTGTTTTCACAGCTCCATGGTCTCTATCAGCTAGCAGAGCATTTTCTGGAAGAAAGACAGCCCAGCCCTTGCCATGATGGGAGAATACAGCCATTGCTATATGAAAGGGGGAATAATGTGGGGGAGAAATTACCTCTTTACAAAGAGCCAGATTGTCTCCTTATAACCGCCACTGTTTTACACAGAGTCATGGCGATCAAGTGTCTTTACCTGTTTTCTACATTTTGGAATCGACTCATTGCACGATCAAAGATGATCCTTCCCTCTTTTTTTTTTTTCCTTCCTTCTCTCTTTTTCTCAGAAGATCCGGCAGTCTTTTATTTGGAGCATAAGATGAAGTTGTTCTGGAAAAAAAAAAAAACAGAGTACAAGCATGTTGTGAAGCTTTTTTATATGCAACTAGGGTGTGCAGAGAGAGCAGAGGACAGAACAAATGCAGAGCATGGGTCGCTGGTGCACATGATCCATGCCTGTGTCTTACTTTTTGGAGTTTATTTCTGTGCTTCCTCTTGAACATGGTGTCTCATAATCTTGGAATTAACACTACTTATGGCAAAATAGGAAGCCGTCTGTGTCCTGTCTCATTCTGAAGAAGCTAGCAAGTTCTGCTTCCTTTATATCAAGTCTCACACGAGCCCTTTCAGGCTGGGGTCTGACTTCATGACCTCATCGGAAACAAGCCACCCCTCAGTTGGGGTTTGATTTCCAGAGTCTCTGTTGGGCTCAACACAAATCGATGCTTGGCTGATCAGACGGGATGTAGTTGAAC